ACTAAATATGTTATATTTAAAAAATAAATAAATAATAAAAGTTGTAATATTTTTTAAAGGAAATATTAATTTTATGTTCTAGAGTAAGATTTCTCTTAAATTTCCTACCTATACAATTATTTCTAAATTTTCAAAAATTCAAGTTTAATATTTGCTATATACACGTTCTTTGAGAAACGAATAATCGAAATCTCTTTATGAACTAAATAATTATTAAAAAAAGGTTTAAAGTTTATATTTGCTATTTTGATTCAAAAATAAAATTTGCTATTTATTTTAAAAGAAATTGTAGGACCTAAAAAAGAGGAGAAAGACCCACTTAATGTTTCTTAAAGACAAAAAGTTATAGTTTTTTAATAATTGTTTTCCCTCTAATTTGTCCAAATGTGGCTTAGATTAAAAAATTATAATTTCAAAGTTTTTTCCTTAATTTTTATACTTGAAAAATTTTATTTGTGAATAGTTAAAATGTAAGATGTTGTTTTCTTATTAAAGAAAAATTCTAGCTTTCTAAAAAAGAGTATAAAGAAACTATAAAAGGAGATGATTATTTATCATGAAAAGTTTGTAAAATAAATATTCGCTAAAACCGTTATCACTAAGTCAAACAAATATTCATTCAATTCAATTGATTTCGTGAATCTGAAAATTGGAATGAATAGAATTGAATTTAAAAAAATAAATTATGTTAACTCATGATTTTAAATAAAGAATACCTTGTGAGTGGATTTACTTGTCAAGGGTTTTTTTGTTTGTTTGTTTTTCTTTTTTCAAACTATATAAATTAAATTAAAAAAATTTAAATGTATGAGCCAAATTGTTTATGCTGAAGTTGGGTAATAAATAAATAATAATTTAAACTTAAAAACTTTGGCTTTTAGTAGTAGCCATTGGCAAATGACATGAGAGAGAGAAGAAAATATATTTTGACCTGCTTCTCTGTGAAACTGACAAAGCAATGAAATCAGGTACAAACAAGTTTTCCTCTCTNTATAAAAATTACTATAATACTGCTTTCTTATTTTTAATTAATTATAAATACATTATTAATATTATTTTTAATTAAAACAATATTCTACTATGTTTAATTTTGTTTTATTACCATTTATAATATTAATAAATCAGTTGGGGTTTTTTTAGTAATATTTATTAGTTTTGTTTTATTTGAATTAAGGTTGTGTACATAAAGTAATAATAAATGGGAAGAGTTGTACTAATAAATAATAATAATAATGATGATAATAAGTGGGAAGAGAATAGTTTAAATGAAAAGAAAAATAAATAAATAAATAAAGGAGTTGGATTGCAAATTATATTAAAATATTTAACTTAAAAGGGCTTAATTTAATTTAAGTTAAATTACTCATTTAGCTCTATAATTTGAATTTAATTTCAAATCAACTTCTATGTTTAGTTAAATCTCACCTATGGTCTCTTAATTATTTTTTGTCCACTTACAAAGCCACCTAATTTTTTTTTTTGTATTTTTATCCAAACTCCAATACAAACATATTAACCAAATGGAAAAGAAAATTCATTGCCACGTAGGAAAAAAATATGCATCACTAATTTGATATAGAAATGACTTGTACCAACATAAATGATTTGTGCGAGATTTGACAAAACCAAAAGGGTAAAACATTTTAACTTTGGGTGTTTGGGGCATAATTCAACATCTTTAGCTTGAGGGTTTAAATGGAGGATTTAGAGAGCAAAAGTTTGGGAAAACTATGTTTATCGAGTTTGAATAATGGGTCATTGCGCCAACCAGATTATAGCTCAATGGGTTAAGATACATATATTCAACTATGAGATTGAGAGTTCGATTTCCCACCCCTACGTGTTGTACTAAAAAAAAGAATAACGGATTATTGTTCAAATTCGTTTGTTTCTCTAATTAAACTTCAATTTGGCAACTCCACCAATTAAATATTTAGTTAGATATTTATTAACACAAATGTACAAGTTTAGTGATTATTAAATACTTTAAGAATTTTTTACAACAAATCGAAGGAATCTCCCGCCTCAAGAAAAGCAATAGATGTCATTTATTATTGAACTAATACTTTTATAAAATATATTACACACAATATTAAAAAATTTGATAATATATTAAATATATATTTTTTAAAAGTAGAATAACTTGGCTCAAAAGCCAATTTTAGCCTTTAAAACATAACACCTCCAACTCAACTAAAGGTGTGAATCCATAACATACATGTTGTTGAACTAAAAAAAATAATAATAATTAAAAAATAGCCATAAATTTTGTCATTTGTTTAAAAAATACCCGTAAACGTTAAAAAAAAACCCCTTTTGAACAAATATCGATTAATATTTTAAACAAAAAGTTGACGTGGCAGAATTAGAAACGGTGTAGTAATTAACTCAGTTTTGTCCTAAAAATCTTCTTCTTTTATTGTCTACCTAATTTTACCCATCACAAGTTCACTTCCTTTCTTCTCATACTCAGTTCAGTCAAACTTCCACGATAATTCTCACGGCAACTTTTCATTTAAAACATTAATAATATTTGCTCAAACGATACTTTTAAAACATCCCTAAGATAATCAAACTTTTAAAAGAATAGGAAGGAGTATCGAAACAAATGCAAAGTTGAAGAGTATCTTTTGTAATTTACCAAATTACTTAATCTCTTTTTTCCCAAAAGAAAGGGAAAAAAAAACCCTTAATGTTAATATATTCAATTTAATAGAGTACTAATCAGAAAAAAAAAGGGTTAATATTTAATATAATTTATAGTCTCTGTCTCTGCTCTGCCACTCCCCTGTTTCTCCTCTCTCTCTCTCTCTCTCTCTCTCTCTTTGTTTGTGTGTTTAGAAGTCTGAAAACGTACACCGATGATCTTACACAAATATAGCTAAACAACCAAGTAGCAATTTCTTCAAACCCCTTTCAAAAATCCCTCTCTCTCTCTCTCTCTACCATTTTCTCTCTCCTCTCCCCTGTTTTTTTCAAACAAACGAATCTCACAGACCAGAAGAAGAAAAGAAAAAATGGGTTGTGATTGTGAATAATCAATCTGGATTGTGGATCGTTGATTTTGGGCTCTGCCATCGATGAATTTGAGTTTGATTTGTTGTTCCGGTGAATGGGTTGTTGCATGCTCTCTCAT